AAAACTGACTTTGAAAAATAAATCTGTTCTTTTTTTCTTATAAAAGGCTAAATAAAACAAAAATATTGGTGGTAATTTTTGACTGGGTAACTTTACAAATGGCACCCCGTAGTTTTCCCTCTTTACTGCATGTTTATCTGCAAAGATACCAATTTAAACTACTTCTATGTTGGCAGAAATAGGACGTCTTTGCACATCAGTATTTATTCACAAGGAATTTGCTGATAATGTAACAAAACCAAAAAGCTAAGGCCACGCATGTTTTAAAACAAACTATGGAAAAGCACAAATTGTCACAAACATTGGAATAAATTGAGGTCAGATTACTTTGTGTTGCCATTCTGTTGCTTCCTCTTCTTTTTTCCTTTTTGCTTCCTCTAGTAGAGCAATTTTGGCGGTGAACTCAGCTAACTCTGCAGCCTGTTTAAAAAAAAAAACAGAAATTACAACACTGAACTACCAATCTGTCTAAACAATGAAACTAAGCATGCTTGTTTTTTTTCATTAAAAAAAAGAATTACTGTCACAAAATCCTGAATTAAATGAATACTTTGTTCATTGGCTGGTTGTACTGAAAAGGTTTTTCAGAAGTATTTAAGGTACGTTAAGAGACCCAAGGGACCCGGAAGACAAACACTCCAGTGACCACAATGATGAACACAAACCAGGGCTGACAAAAGGCCTTCAGCTGATCACATCAGGAACTGATGACCCAGCAGCTTCATGAGAACATGCAGCATCAGCCTCAGATCAACCTGCTTATGCTGGCCACAAAACTGGACCCTACCAGATCCTGATGGATCAGGATGGACCCAGTGTTTCCCTGTGGAGGTCCACCTGTGTTCAGCAGGCCTGTTATCAGTTCCTCCAGTCTGCAGCTGAGAGCAGCCTGAGAGAAGAGCTGTTCATCCCAGGGAGCCGTCACTTTCAGACAATGACTCACATGTCAGTTTGTACAGACTGTCAGTATTTTACACAGATTTTCCATCATTTTGCAGACGTATTGAACAATATCACAGATTTTTTAAAACTTTTACGATTTTTTCAAAACCTCAGTATGAAATTAATTTAACACGTAGGACGTTAATAAACCCAAACAACATCAAATAACCATCTTTCAACCTGTTCTGGCGATAGAAATAAGACTAGTAATAAAAGGACCCCCATACAGACCACTGGACCAGAACTTAGAAAC